TTTTATGTTAATTCTAATATAATAATGTAAACACTTGTTTAGAACGACCGATTGTTGTGATGGCTGCTGTTGTGGCATCGATATCTGGGCTATTGTGCTTAATGTGATATTGCAGGATGCGCCTTTTCTAACGCTACGCATGCTAATTATATTCCAGTATAAAATCCTAAATTATATGAGCGTGTTTTTTACATGTGAGTATCATCAACTTAACTGCAAACAAAATAGTTTGGAATAAAAATATAGTGAAGTTTCAAATGTCACTATTCACCACAAACTCATAAATCGAACAATTAATTAGACCGGGTAAATATCAAGCGATGTTTTAAAATTTCGGCTATTAGCTAAACATCAGAGCCTAAAAATGACACCATTTGAACGTAGAATAGGGTTTGTACCTGAAATAATATGTAGAGAAGCTCAACCGTATTTTGCTCGAAGTTTATGGTGAATATGCTCTAGCTGAGTGAAGGTGCCAAAAGTGGCTTACACGATCTAAAATGTCGCAAAAAGTCGTATGTAGCCACCCAATCCAACAACAACGGCAAAGCCGAATATGCAGGTTGGTCGAAAAGTTTCTGTGCTCGAAATGAAAAAATACTGTTTTTGGTACAAAATACGAGTATATTTTTTTATTCAATATAATCTACCTTAACTTCAATACACGTATTTCACGCTTAGCCAAACTTGGATCTTCACTAACAATATTATGAACATGCCGCTATATGCGTGGCTCGTGTTCAAGCCTAGTATGACTACGTTTAAATTCACCAGCCCAAAATTCAACGGTGCGTTTTGATGGTGGGAACTCTTTATACACTTTTAACAATTATTCATAAATTTCCTTTGCTTTTAAATCTTTCAAAACAAAAAATCGAATCACTGCGCGATATTCTATTTTTTCCATATTAAAAAAATACTCTGCCACGCCAACTTCATATGGCTTGTAAACAAAGAACTAATTGAGAAAATTATTTGAATCTTTGCATCTTTGCATCTCACAACAGGTGTATCAACTTGAGAAAAAAAAGTGGAGCTACTAGCTAGTGGTTTCTTGGTGAGACGTGCTGATATGCTTCTAAACACGGGTAAAACCATTCTTGGGGAATGTCACCGCCAACAACCCATCAAATTGAAGTGAAAAAAGCCTGGAATTCACGATTAGACACAAGGCCTCATGTTGCAAGACCCGTTAAAAACTATTTGGAAAACATCGGCTGGGAAGTTGCTGACTACCATTTGTTCCGATCGATGCAAAACGCCTTTACTGGAATACGGGTCCCATCAGAACAGGGTATCAAAAATTAGCTTGTTCATTCCTGGCCGCCAAGCCGGCGCAGCTTTGGCATGGAATCCACAAATTGCCATAAAGATGAGAAAATGTTATAACTTAAAAAAAAAAAAAAAAAAAATAGCACGAATATAAGTAGCTATGGACCCAATAGTTAGAAGATTCCATCATATTGTTAAATATATCTACGATTTCTATTAAATATTTAACCTTTAAAAGGCAGCTGTTTGGGGACAAAATAATGCTATTCAAAAAATTGATTGATAAGGGCTATTGAGCTGTAAGCTGAATTAACGATGCTTTGTTAAATTTTGCACCGAAGAAGAAAGAGGTTGATATACCTAAAGAGCTGACATTCAAAAGATTGCATTGTCGGGCATATTGTTCAAGGCGAAAGCTTTGTGTTGTGCGAAGCTCCGAATTACTTACCATCCACCATATTCTCCGACTCTATTGCCCAGCGACTTTTTACTTAAGAATTAATCGCATCGCCGTAACGGAGGCCCTTTTTTAAGTAAAAGACAAACCTTACTACAAAACAAAAAAAGTTGGAAGATTGCTTTAATCAGTAAATCGTGATGCAATGTATTTTGAATCACAAAATCGAGTTTTACCAAATATACTCGTATATAAAATATACATAAAATATTTACCAAAAACAGTTATTTCCACGGTTGCGGTTGATTTTATTCCAATTTATTGACGCAAACAAGATCTCGTTATTATCAAATAATAGATATCTAATGAACGCTTTAACCGACAATCATATCTTCATTACCGGAATCAAACAACCAAGGCGTGTCAACTCGTCAAAAATTTTAAAATTTATTGGAGAAATGCTTATTCCACTCAAATCACGACAAATATTTTATTTTAATAAAAAGAAGTAATCTGAATAAATATTCCGACTTAACTCTCTTCCCAATTGCTCCATTGTTCCTGCACTGCAACTACTTCTAAAGCAGAGGCTATCTTTTATGAAAGAAGTTTACCTTCCGTAGTTCGGTAGTTTTTAAGAAGTATTACCAGTATAAACATTTTCACCTCAATTTTGCAGAAGACCTAGTCTAGATTTACGCATATAAGATAGAGTTTTGAAATATAGTTTTACGGCAGCATGAACGGTATAATTTAATAAAATTTATTATTTATTTTAGGTAAAAACACGTTGGTCATTGTTTTACAGTTATATCGTCTCTATGTAGTAAATGCTGAGTTCTGGAAGAATCGGCGTGAACAAAAATCTGGTGGCGACAAGTCGCAACACTACAAGTCTCGACGTCGTGCCCAAGATCCGGATGCAAATAGCATATACATGATATCAACTGAGCGGGGTACCGATGTCAAGCGGAAAATACAAAAGTATATACTTCTACAGATTTACTTCTTTTCTGAATTGTTAAAATAATTTTTCCTACTTGCATACTTCTTAGGGCACGTGACTACGCCGAGGATGAGTTCGTAACGCGAAAAAGGAACAGAAAGGATAAGTGAGCGCGCGTTAACACGCTTTATCTTATTTTCGAAAAGTCATATTCTAAATATTTCTCTTTCTTATCTTTACACTTAACTTATTCAAGATCGAAAAAGCACAAGCGTAAGGACACTGGTTACTCCACTGCCAGTTCACAGAATTTATATTCCACTAAAATGGTGGATGAGCGCAGTGCTCGTCATAAGGACAAGAAGAGCGATAAAAAGTCGAAGAAACGTGATCGTAGCAACACATCGGTCGAAAGCGATATTGTCGAGGCGAAGAAGTCGAAACGTGGTGATGCCGGTGGTGGTAAAAGATCGGATAAGAAGGACAAGAAAAAGTTGGTTGATAGAAAGGTTCGCCGCTGAGCTCATGTACGTCAATTGAAAATGTGTTTTTTTGTTTTTTGCTCTTTTTGCCATCGGCAGAAAATCGAAAAAAGTCGAACCCGTCATGGAGGAAACAACAAGTAGCTCCAGTTCGTCTACAACAACGAGCAGTTCATCGGATTCCAGCAATTCCACATTGCCCAGCTATGAAGTGATTTCGGAGCGTAAATTGAAGAGTAACAAGAGGAAACGTAGCTCATCGGAGAGCACATCAACTGACTCATCAGATACAACGACATCGTCATCGTCTTCATCATCCTCGTCTTCGTAAATGTGATTGCAGCTGAACTTACTACAACACCGCTAATCAAGTTACCGTTGCTGCTATTACGTTTCTTGTGCGGTCTTACTACACATATTTATGTGCAAAGATGAAGCATTTTTACAGATGAGGAATTAAAAATAGAGAATAGCATTGCTCTCTTTGTATATTTTTGTAAATCCATAAAATAATTGGAATTTGAAGGTTTTTGGGTGGTTTTGAAGTTAAAAAAATAGATAGGCTTGCAAAGAGATTGTGTAAAACTAAAGGGTGTGCCTTTTGTGGCATCTCAAGCGATATTTTGTACGATTTATACGACATTTTTCTAATAGAAAATTCGTTAGTACATAAAAAGTATGTAATATTAAATTATTTGTATGTATTGCACGTATATTAAGCGAATCTAGTGCTAGTGCTTTGCCATAAGTAAATTTGTAATTAATAAAATATTTGCGCTTTTGAACAAAAGGAATCTATAAACTTGTCTGATTGAATTTCCTGAGAAAATTCTGCTGTTCGAATCACACATGACATGCCGAGTAAGTTGTTAAAGTGTGAACCTGTTTTGTCTGAGGTTTTCATGTTAAGCTATCGAACTAGAATCTATGCTCTATTGTAATCAAGTTTCCTTCACTAGTTAAAACAGTTTTTTCATTTTCCCGGTTTTCAGAGCTTCCTAGCTATAAATTGACGCCTTTGAAAATCAATACTTAATATTTTCAGCTTAAGTATGTCACGCTCTCATTTTACATGGAATATAGCAAATGATGATCTATTCTTCAAGGACTGAGCTCTAAACGTGTGTTATATAGAACTTGTTCTCATATTATCAAGAGATATTTTAATTATGTGCAATTAAACATGGACTCGGAAGAAGAACATTGGTTTCAAGTGCCTAATTTTGAAGTATGGTTTTCTTTGGTCTCCTTGGTTGGATACCTTACTTTAGTTACACTCTATTTTCCAGCAGGACTTCTTTTGCTAAGCCGTCGATTAATAAAGGGCTTACTGGTTATTCCTCATTAAGCTGTATCATTATCAAAGGCTTGGGCAATCTCCTTAATAAATTATCGACTATTTTGACACTATTAATGCCTATGGGCTTGAAATATCCTTAATATATGGTATTTTCCATTTTAGACATGTTAACGTCTGTCGAAGGCAACTTTAAGGCGGATACATATGTGACAAGTGTCGACCTTTTAATAAGTTTCAGTTACACTGACTTCCGACTGAGCGGAAGCCCGCTATTTTTCAGAATTTGTTCGAGTAATACTTTATTTCGGCAAATCATTTAAGAACAGCCTATTTTAATCGATAATTTAAGGTAGGAGAATACGCAAATATGCACCATAGATAGATAGGTAGTTCGTCAGTCAAATTCTGCGGCGGAAAGTTTCCGAAACGGTTACCGAGATAAACCAAACTTACCAATACAAACAGGCTTATATCATCCACAAAAACAGTCCTTGACCGAATAAATTCCGGAATCATAGAACTGGTTGTTGTGGGAATCGATAGAGCGAGCTTCCTATCTGTTGGTTGATCGAAGCATGCTGACGAGCGTAAGACAAATTTTAATTGGATATTACTCTCTTAAAATTTTCATACATACCACGATGGTTTTATGCCCATCAATCTCTCAGAAAGATTTGACACCATAAAGAAGCATTGGCAACCCTTAAAAATGCATCAAGTAACTATTAACAACATCTAGCACTTTTACACCCGCACCGAAAGGGCAACAAGTACGGTTATGAGTATTTAGTCAGCCAGGGGCAAAGTGCGACATGTGCGACATTGCGAGAGCAGCAGGAAAAGCACACTGAGCTTTTACAATTTTTCACATAGTTGTCGGCCGCATCGGCTAAACAGCGCTCAGTCAGTTTTCAATTAATTGTGGAGCGGTTCGTTAATGGTTACACGCTAGTAAAGACGTTGACAAATATACAACGGTAGAGACACTACCATATAATGCTTTGTTTGTGTGTTACTTAAATCATATGTAATATGTTAATATATACATATATATAATATATAATATATAAATATATATATAGTATAATATATCATAAATAACTGTAAAAGTAACCAACGTTGCTTTTGCTTGTGGACCCTGTGATAATTTAATAAAGCAATCGAAAGAAAATTGCTTCTGCTGTTTACATATTTATTATTCATTTGGGTCCAAGCACAGCGTGTAGATAACCGAGTTTGATATATCCGATATAGCTGGCCACAGATGTGAAAACAGCTTTCCAGCGTTTTTCGTGAAAATTTTCGTTTCGCTTGCTGCTCGATTGTGTCGCTAATGTTTTATTTCGCGTTTCTTTTGCTTTAAATACGCGCGTATTTGACGACTTTATTATATAGTCTTTATATTCTGATTAAGGGCCCATTGATTGGCGAGCGTCGGGCGGAAAGTATCAAGGTTACTACAGTGACATTCGCATTCGTTTTATAATTAAACATAGGGCGGTACGAAAATGGGGCGAAAAGATAAATAAAAAATCAGATTGAAATCATCTTAGCTCTTCATCTCTGTGAGTGCGCTTTTATTACTCAATTATCACTGTTTGCTTAATAAAATGTGCAATTATTTAAATACACAAAAATTGCATGGTTAAGTGGGCTTTCTGTTATTACACTCTTAAAATAAATATATATGTAGCTAATAAATAATATTACCATAATAATACTAAAAAACTTGTGTCGCACCTGTATTCAACAAATTGACAACAAACAAGCCATTGTGAGTACATTACAACAATAATATTAATATGTTTTATTGAATAGTTTAATGAAATAAAAGTTTCTCACACACAATTTTAACAACATGATTCATGACTACATTGAACTTTTAATCTTTCGGAAAATGCGGAAAAGTCGGCACGTTTTGGCAAGCAGGAGAGATTTCTCTCAAATAGCCCTTGTATCATGATTAACAAATATTTGTCTGTCTAGTTTCACTGAGTACTCCCAGCAGTGAAATAAATTAGTTACGAACTAGTTAACAACTATTGTGGTACACAAGCAAAACTAGTCAGCCGACTCTTCTTTTGTGATAAAAGCAACTGGTATGTGTTGATTTCCTAATATATGTCAATTGTCTGATTTCGGCCTGAAATACGAGTATGTCAGAAACATACCAGTTTATTCCAGTTATAACATTTGAGGCCAGATAAAACAAGTAACATAAGTGACTAGTTAAATTTCTCAGTTCAAAAACCTCCGATAACATAACATTTCTCACTTTTTGAGCCAACTTTCCAAGAACTTTTTCCGACATCCATTTTAATTGGGCAATGCTAATTCTAAAGTTAACACATTTTCGGATTAGTTTAATATTTCACAGCAGTTCGGCAAGTTTGTAACACCTTTACGTATACATACATATGTATAAATTTATATACATGTACAAACGTACCATAAAACTAAAACTATGTATTAGTTCAACGCCATCCATCACAAAGTTACAAATTACAAAAATAGAGAAACATTTCACACGCTACTAGACTCTTGGCTGCTTTTCTTTTTTACCATTGTTTATCTAAATTTGACGTCAAATTATGTGACGTTTTGCAGCAACGAGCAAACTGAAAACTCTTTGTTGCTGAGGTGCATCTGAAATATTTTGCTTTCAATTGGGACTGAAACACTGAAGTAAAAAATTACTTTTTCGGGATGCCGTATAGTGTGCCATGGTGTGTCAGGTTAAGTGGTCAACAGGGAGGCGGACGCTTTCGTTTGATATAATCCCAATATTATAACTCAACTAAATAAAACTTATATTTTTTACCAAATTAATATATATTATAATTTTTCTTCTTGCGATTTGGATGTGATAGCCATATGTACATAGTACATATGTATCATAAATCTTCTATTCCCAAAAAAAGAAACAAAAAATTGTTTCCATGGGCCCGGAAGTTATAATTCCCTATGTTGATTTGGTTATTATCAAATAATAGATTAATAATCAACATATGTTTCAAATTTATTGGAGAAAAGCTTATGACACAACGACAAAATACCTATTTTAATAAACGGAATGAGAAAGGTGAGAAATACATGAATTCTGTATATGCCATCCTCTTACTTACAAATATACATATTGATTCCAACTATAAACCTAAGTGTGGATATACCAAAGGCATGACTACTTTTCGATTTAGTTACCTATTTAGTAAACCATATGTTTGGCCTAGTGTTATCGGTCAGTGCTCTACCCGATGATCTTAAACCAGTTGTACTTTGATCGAACCGAATATTTGTTAAGACAGAGATATTGAGGGTTACAGAACATCGTATCGCGTTGAGTTCAGTTTTAAAACACTATTTTGCGTGAAGTAGAAAGTTGGGGATATTACTTGAATAAGTTAAATTTAACATATTTAAAATCTTTCAATTGATTTGTCTTAAACAAAACTTTATTTCATCAATTTTACGAAAGTTTGTAATTAACAGTGTTCGGAAGTTTTAGTGCTATGCAAAGCTAGGCTTGTTGTGTTTCACAGTTGAACGGAAATGGGTTACGAAATCCCGAATCCTAAACATGATGTGTATTCGTTTACTTTAACATTACTACATAGACATTTACTTAACATTACTTACAAATACATTTACATATTGGCACAAATGCGTTGTGTTTTGTCAGCAGGGTTGCCGCAAATGTTTCACGAGCATAAAATATAAATATTCAAAATTTAAAAATACAATATCTATTAAAATTTATTACAAAAAATAATTTTTATATTTCCAATTGAATTTTGTAAACTTCTCCATTATTTATTCGCTATTTAAAGTATTTCAAAATTAAGTGCAAATTTTCTTGTAAATTATTTGAATTTATATATAAACGCACAAAACATAATTTTGGTTTAGATTAAGTTATAGGGTTTTGTAAACATAATTACAATAAATAATAAAAATCTATATTCCAAATTTAAGACCTTTTAATTTATACCATTTCTAGAAAAACAAAAACGATTTGTTATCGGTATATGTATTTGTTTTCATTTTATAACAGGAAATATGTGCTTCACTGCTAAAAGATCCTGAGAACAACAACAAATATAATATAATTTAATCACATATAGTTTTACTAATTTTCACCAAGAATTCTAAAAAAAAAAAATTACAACATCAAGCATAATATCCTTTAACAATTGCGATTGGAAAAAAGGTTTAGAAATTAAAAACAATTTTAGGAAGAACAAACCTAATATGCATTAGTTCTAGTAGGAATATTTCCAATAGATGACATTAGTAATATATTTCTTGCGTTTTATAAGTGAGTGAGTCGAATTACCCCATATGCAGTTAGAAAGATAAGACTTAGTTCTAAAAATATACTCAGACAGTTTAGGGATTGCTTGGTTCAGTATTGTTAGAGCACGCGTCAATGATGGACATCAACAAAGTGAAAATACGCCATAATTTACTATTTTTCATCGTTTTTTGTTAAATAATATATTTTGAAGGCAATGCATTCAACCTTTGTCGTACAAAAACACCACAAAATTATCCACCCACCATTCATAAAATGCAAGATTGAACACCTTTTGTATTAAATGATGCAAAACGGCAACACTGGATACGCGTGCACCACTTTTGTTGGCGTCGAGTACCTCGATTAAAGCTCGTTTGATTACAAGAGTTTCACTCTCTGTTTATTTATATATTTTTGCCTCGATTATACCACGTGCCGCTCTCGGCGCTCTAGAAAAGCTTTTGAAACGAAGCATTTGCTGTTGCTTAGTGAGATTTGAATAGTTTATAAAGAAGCTGTGCATAGTAAGTTTGTTTGTACATATATGTATGTATGTATTTGTGCACATTTCTGGCGTTTAATAAAACAATTTATGTAAAGGGTTGTTGCACTATACGAGTAGCTATTTAATTTCTATTATTTGTGTGTATGTATGTTTATGTGTTGTTTTCTTTAAAGTGTGTAATTAATGAATGAACTGAATGTGAACTAAGTAATGACACTTTTATATTTAGCTATTAAATTTAATATGCTACAAATACATTTAACTTTTGAAAGCATTTTTTTCGTATAAATTTATAACTAGCTTTCTTACTGTTATTTTTGTTGACGCCACTTTCGTAATTTGTATTAATTGAAAGTGTGTGGAATATTTCGAGGTGGCCTCCAGACTTTATTGAAAAAAATGTTTTTACAAATTAGACCTTTGTTGCTCGACAAAATTGTCAAATGGTTGTCTTAAATATTGTTATCATGTTAAGTTATACTATAGGTCACGAAGGGCAGTAATCATCGACTAATTTTACTTAGGTGGGTAAAGCGGCACAGGCATTAAAAGTAGTAGTTATATATATGTAAGAGTAGCAGTATTCTAAGACACAACCCACAAAAGACAATTCTAACATGGGCCAACATTACCGGGTTCTAAATTGCCTTTTTTGGCGAAAGGCAAATTGTTTATTTTCAAAATGCGAAAACTGCCCGAATTTAAATTAAATTCGTTGAGGAAAATTAGTTTTTTCTACGATACATTTTGCTTGCGTTACTTTTAAGTATTGATCGATACCCGATACCGATTACAAAGGTATCTAACACTTTCATATAAATTATTTAGATTTATGGGGAATAAAGAAAGGGCAGTTGAAGAAAGTTTTACGTACAAAGATTCAATTACAATGGCTAATACAAAAACTTTCTTATAAACTTATTATTTTCCTATTTATGACCAAATATGCAGAAAAAAATTTCGTTGGTATGCTAGATAGATTTGGCTAGATGTATGCTCCGCGACCTATGGTCCATTATGCCCTGGTACGCTGGATACCGAAATTTCGATTTTTTTATTATAAGTTAGCTAAGGTTAGGTTACAAGCAAGACAAATCTCTCAAAGTCAGTTTTTTCCCTGATTCGCTGAAGGTGTGACTGCCAAGCTGTTTCAGCTTCAGTCTTGCAAAAGCTGTAAAAATATATATATATATCACCTATTAATATATTTCGAATGAAGCTTAATTTTTTGATTTTTGGTGGTTCTATGAAAGGCTTATATTAGGTGCCGATATTTTCGTCCACATCTTACTACTCCAGCTTTACAATTCAACTATATAACACCCGGGGAACAAGTTACGGATTTATAATTAGTCGAGTAATTAAAAAACAAAATGAAACATCGACATTATAAATATGTACGTATTGTACATACATGCATAAATTGTACAAATTTCAAATGTTACCAATGCTATTGATATGTATATACATATATATATATATAAATGTATGTATGTTTGTATGTAAACCGAGCCCGCTTCTGCGTAACTGAAATAGATACCGGTTTTGGTAAATTTTTGCTTGTTTTGTTGTAGTAACCATTGGTTTTCTAACTATTTACTGGTTTAGAATTCAAGGCCTACTCCGTAGTGCTCGCCGTTTAGCTTTTTATTCTTTTGTATTTGTTTTATTAGCGTTTGTATTTTTAATGCTTTAGTTATCTCACACCATTTTGGCTTCTGTGTAAGTAAACATAACACACATATATACATACATAAATACAAACATGCACTCTTATGTATGTACATATGTGCATATGTGCGCATACGCGCTTTGGAAAACGTGCACAAACAAAATAAATAAATAATTATTGTTTTTGTTGCTAACGTGTTGAACGGCCGACAAAATTACCACTGTGTTATAAAATATAGGAAGCAGAGGCGGTTAATATTTATGTTGCTTTGTAGCTTTTGGCACGCTTCAGTGCACACTGACCTACAATTTTTGATTTTGCACACAAAAGCATTTTAGAAACAATGATTGATTTTGATTATTAACAAAATAATTGGCAGTGGAATGCACGAATATACATATGTACATACTCGTATGTATTAATACTATACATTTAGACTAACCACTATGGTAGAGGGTTATTCGTTTCGAGTCTTCGAGGTTATGAATTTCGAAAAAACCTCTGACAAGAAAAAAGATATGCTTTAAAGAAGAAGTTAACTCACTTACTAATATTAACTGCCATATTATAATAAGTGGAGTAAAAAACTGCATTTATTCAGAGTTAAAAGCGGACGAAGGAAAGAAAATTAATATACTATCTGACCTGTTCACGTATTTAATACAAATCTATATTATCGGCTTTAAGAATCCTAACGTTTGATCCAATTTTCGATACACTTGTTAATAGCCTCGGCTACGAAAGTGCCTTCAGCGAATTTCTGTTTTTTCAGTTTCGGCTCATTTTTGGAACGCCAAACGCTAGATTGTTCTCAAGTATCTCTTTTGCGACCTCTACTCGACGTCGTTTTTGCAAAATATTGAGTTCTTTTAGAATGAGTGTAGTTTTGACACCCTTCATACCCAAAGCACTAGCGATGTGTTGAGTCGATCCATAAGAGATGTTGAGATTCTCTGCTATTTCTCTGATGCCAACATTACAATTTTAAAGCACTGTTTCTTTAAATTTTTCGATGTTATCGTTATTAACAGAGGTGGATGGTCAACTCGCTGACTTGCCGATCTAAATGAATGCTTCGTGCCATTAAAATACTTGTGTTTGTTATAATGTAGACTCTCCAAAACACTTCTGCAACAATTTCAACTACTTTGTAACCGTGATTTCATGGGAAATAGAAAATTCATTCTCGTTGTTAATTTTTTTTGCATAGTAAAAATCGACCGACAATCTTAAAAAAAGCTGCTAAACATACTTATTGACATATGGAAATCAAACTTCACACGAACATAAAAAAAGTTGTTTTAAAAAATCTAAAAAAGTTTTATCGATTCAATTTGTGCGTATAGT